CCCGCCCATTCCTGCTCCAGCGTCACCACCGACATCTGCCATCTTCATGCTCTTGCCTGACTGTGCACTGAGAGAAACCAGGCTGAGACATGCAACTCTCTGACCGCACCCAGCTCTCTCCCCCCCCCCCCCCCAGCCATGGCCCCACCCACACCCCAGCTCCTGTGACCACACTCACATCCGGCCCTCGTGGTGGGCCTCACCAACTCTAGGAAGGCTCGTCCCAGCCCCTGTGCACTCCCACCCCTGCTCAACAGCTGTTGTTCCCATCCTCCTATCCTTCCTTTCACCTTAACCCTACTCTTAGCCCTCAGCTGAGTCAGGGACCCCCTTTACGAGTCAGGAAAAATAATGTACATACACACCTTTCCACACAATCATGCCATTTTGGAAGACTCATGGGCTCCGAGACACCTATCCCCAGCCTCCTGTGGGTCCTGGTTGAGGACCTCGGCTTCACTGCCTGGGCTTCAACACTTTCAGGTCTGGTCGTGGCTTTCCTTGTAGCCTCACCCCCAGCAAATTCTCCTCTCAAGTGGCACCACTGGCTGCCCCAAACCCACCTTATCCACAGCCCCACTTCATGTCCTGACTTATAAAGACCCTTAACTGATCAAACGCACACCTGAAACTTGACCCTAAAAAAGTAGCTCTGCAGCATTATCCATAATTGAGGAGAAATGAATGCAAACTAAATGTCCAGTAAGAGGATAACAGTTACATACACTATGCTACACACCTCAGCGGAATAATAGGCAGCTGTTAAAAATAATATCTATGGAGATGTTTCAATAACTGGGAAAAGTATGAATTTTAATTTGCTAATAAAAACAGCAGAAATAGCATCAAAATAGTGTAATAATTAGAAAGCCGTCTGCACGTGGACAAGAGTTGAAAGGTAATGAGCAAGCTTGCCTCTGATATAAGGTTCTGAAAAGCACGACACAAGGTTGTATATACTGGGATTCCTATACACACACACACACACACACACACACACACACACACACACACACACAACGCACACACTCATAAAACCCAGCAGAGGAAACATGTTCTGGAGGAAGAATGGTAGCAAAACACTAACAGCCATTTTCTCCAGCTGACAGAACCATGGATATTTTTTTTCTTCTTTTTCTTTATGTATGTATTTCCTTTATGTATTTATTGTATTTATTTATTTCCTTTATTATTTATTCCTTGGGCTGTAAATATGCATATATGGCATATTTACAGCCCAAGGCAACTTATACTCTTAAGATCCTACTGGGGAAATGAATTGGTGATGAAAAGAGAAGCTGTGGACAAAATACTTGGGTCTGCCATGACTTACACAGAGGATGCATAGCGACTCTCCTGGATGCTGTCTGTTTCTTGAGCAAAGAAATTCCCCTGGGAAGGCGGGTGTGCTTGTGCCCCGTGGTCCCGCTCCCCTCTCCCATCCGTTCTCTCTACAGGGACCTCGTTTTCCCACCCTGTACTCACCCCCTCCTGCCCAGGTCAGCCTGCACCCCGCCGCCGTCACTCTCCGCTGTGTGGTCCTGATGCCTCTGGCCCACGGGATCCAGCAAGGAGAGCAGCTCGGGCTGCAAGGCTGCAGGCACAGCCACGCTCAGGAGCCAACGCAGCGTGCTCCCCGGCAGCATCGTCAGCTTCGACAGGTAGGACGCCAGTCTCAGCTCCTAGAGGAGTGAACGCAGGGACTCAGAGCCTCACGGCTCTAACCTTGACGAACAGCAAATTTTAATGGATCACAGTCTTAGGACTTTTTGTCCCAGGGAGATAAATATTTTAGTACCTCAGTCTTGAAACCATGTTCCCAAAGTCACAGAGCTGTCAAGAAAAATCTGTTTGGTCAGCAGCTTTGGCTTGCCATGACATTCCCCAAGCCTTCATCCATCCCTTCCAACTACTCTCCACTCACTCTTCACAGCTGCAGCCTGGGCCCATTAGTAATTTCTCCTTCTACTCATGTTCGGTGAGGCGACAGGGCTCAGAGGGAACAGCACAGACTGAAAACAACTGAAATGTGCCTAAATCAGTGGATGGTTAAAGAAACTGTGCTATGGCCATGCCACGGAATACCAGTCTGCAGTGAAAGGAAAGTAGTGGATGGATCCCTAGGGCGTTTTGCTGCGTAAAAAGAGCCAGGCCCCGCTGTACCTCCACGTGAATAACATTCCAGAAGTGACAAAATTTAGAGGTGGGGAACAGAGCATTAGTGGCCGGGGTTAGGGGTGTGGAGGGGAAATGGATATAACTATAAAAGCGTAGCACAAACAGATCTTTGTGGTGACCAAACAGTTCGACATCTTAAATGCGGTGTCATGCTAAACTACATGAGGTAAAATGACACAGAACTATACATGCATTTTATATGCATGTCAACTTTCTGGTTTTGATATTGTCCTAGGGTGCAACCATGGGGGGAAACAGTGAAACCGGGATCAGGGCACTGGAACTCTCCATACTAGCTTTGCAACTTCTTGTGAACCTAAAAGTATTTCAGAAAAAGGTTTGAAAAGGAGAAAGAGAGAGTACAGGCAGGCTCGGCACTCCCCCAAACCTGTGTTGGCTCCCAGCCCCACTGCACAGAACTGTGTGTCCTTGGGAAGTGTCTTTATTTCTCTTCGGGCCTCAGCTCCCTCATCTGTAAAATGGGGTAACAATAATACCTATGTCAAAAGGTTTTGTGAGGACAAAATGAGCTGTGACGTGTAAAACTGGTCTGTGTTAAGAAGGCAAACTCCCTTTCCTAGCAACAGCGTGGGCATGCCTGGCCACCTGGCCAACCAGAGACCTTCCCTGGGATTTTACACAGCAAACCCAGGAAAAATAAGCACTTTATACAGCAAAACCAGGAGAGCCGGATGCTGAAAGGCCATCAGCTCAGGGCTGTCAGCTTTCATGTCCCTTCCTGTGTGAATAAGCTTATTAGTGGACACAAAGAAACAGGGGAGAGAGAGAGAGAAGGAGAGAGACCCACAAAGAGGCCTTTGCCAGTTGAGCCCCCAGAGCTCAGCTCTGCTCTTTGAGGGGCCAGCCAGGGTATTAATATATTTCGTTTACACTCAAACTAGTTTGAAATGAATTTCTGTTACCTTCACCTAAAAAGAATTTTGACTTTACAAGACATCTAAGTGCCGTGCTTGACAAATCAAGGTCATTCAGTGAGTGTTGGTTGTTGCTGTTGTTACAGTATTTATATGAGTTTCCTATTGCAGCTGTAACAGATCACCCCAAACTTGGGCTTAAAACAACACACAATTATTCTCTTAACGGTTCTGGAGGCCAGAAGTCTGAAATCAGTGTCACTGGGCTAAAGTCAAGGTCACACAGGCTGGCTCCTTCTGGAGGCTCCCGGGGAGAATCCCTTCCCTGGCCTTCCCTAGCGTCAGCTGCTGCCTGCATTCTTTGGCGTATGGCCCCTTCCTCCACCTTCAAAGTTCATCCTCCAATCCCTGCTTCTGTCATTCTCACATGGCCTTCTCTTCAAGCTGTGACTCCTGCTTTCCTCTTGTAAGAACACCTGTGATTACATTTAGGGCCCACTGGGATACTCGAGGATAACACCCCCATCCTAAAATCCTTAATCACATCTGCAAAATCCCCTTTGCCATAGAAGGTCATATTCACAGGTTCTGGGAATTAGAACTTAGACATGTTTGGTGGGCCATTGTGCCAGATTATTAGTACACTTATTCATTCAACCAACACCACGATGGGGTCCTACTGGGTGCCAGACCCTGTTCCAGGCACTGGAGGCAGAGCAGTAAGTAACACAGACGAAGTCTCTGCCTTCACGAGGCTCACAGTCAGGTCAAAGACATAGATGGTAAACCTACAGAGAAACACCGTATCAGGCAGTGTACGTGCCAGGATGCAAAACAAGGCAGGATAAAGAGACAGAGGGTGAGGGGCGGGGGTGGCTGATATTTGAGACGGGTAGTCAGGGAAGGCTTCTCCGAGGAGGTGACATCTGAGCAGGGACCTGAACGAAGTGAGGAAGTGAACCATGGGCACATGGAAGGGAAGAGTTTTCCAGGCAGAGGGAAGGCAAGGGCGAAGACCCTGAGGTGGGGATATCCTTGGCATGTTTCATGGAGAGCGAAGGAGGCCAGTGTGGCTGGCATGGACCGTGTGAGAAGGAGAGTGACAACAGTTAAGTTGGGACAGGTGGCGGGGGATCAGCTCATACGGACCTTTTCAATGTAGGGAGAATTTCGACTTGTCTTCATGGTGAGCTGGGGAGTCACTGCAGGAATTTAAGCAGTGGGAATGGCATGAGCGGATTCTCGTTTTTTAAAGATTACCTTGGTTGACACAGGGGCCATGAACCATCTGCAACAAGTGAGGTAGCAGAGGGGTGGCATCTCAGGCAAGAGATGGTAGCTGTGTGAGCCAGAGTGGTGGAGGGGAGGTGGTGAGAAGTGGTGGGACGCGGGAGACTCTTTGACGGTAGAGCCAACAAGGTTCATTGAAAGATAAGAATAAAGGATGACTCCACCATCTTTCACTTGGGCTGCTGGGTAACTGGTGTCATTTACTCAGATGAGTGGAGCAAGCCTGGGACAGGGGACTGTCAGTCACTCGGAGTTCTGTTCGGACAGGTTAAGTCACTAGTGGCGATGTCAAGTCTCAAGTTCAGGGCAGGGGTCTGGAGCTAAGATTAGATGGTAATCAGTGTGGTGATGACATCCGCAAGGGAGTGAAGGTAGATGAGAAGGAATGAGGTCCAACGACTGAGTCCTCAGGCTCCCAACGTCCAAAGGCCACGATGCATCCAACATAGGGGCTTGACCACAGGTAGCCAGAGGGCTGGGAGAGAAACAGGTGTCCAGGGTTTGGAAGCCAAGGAGGGAACATATTCAAGAAAAGGGCTGTGGATCAAGTGCCACAGAGAGGTCAAGAAAGACAAAGAAATGGACTTGACCACTGGATTTGGAAACATGGGGCTGCTTACTACTTTGACCAATGCTTTCAGTGCAGTGATGGGGAAAAGTGTTATTATAAATACCAAGCTCTTTCCTCGCGACCCATGTGCTTCCTTCTGCCTATAGTACACTCTTCCCCAAAGTGCTGTCTGTCTGGCTCTCCTCAACTCATTCTTTTGGTTTCTACACCAGTGTTGGGCTTCTGGAAGCCTTTCCTGACCCCACATTCTGGGACAGATGCCTCTCCTCTGCTTTTATCTGGTTTTAATCAACTCTCTTCTGTCCAATTCTTGTATAAAATTCAATTGTCCAATTTCTCATGTGTCTCTGCTGTGAGGTTTTAGGATGGGGTCAGCATCATATGCCTCTCTACCTCTAGCATTTAACCCGGTTCCTAGCACAGAGAAACACATCAACAGACGTGGGTCGAACAAATGAAGGATAAACTCCATCAACACCCTGTAGATTCACTTATTCCTGAGGCAGAGGAGTAACCCTTCATCACTGGGATCCCCACTGGTGAATAAGGGGACCCACTGGCCCACTGCCATGGCTCTCCCAGCTCTGAAGCTTTCTGATCAACAAAATAATCCTTAACACAGGTCAGTTAACAGGGTCAAGTCTTCCTGAAGGTGGTGACACAAAAAGCATCTGTGTGGGTCACTTCTAGAGACTGAAATGAATCACAAAGCAATGTGGGGACCGGCTGTTCACGCAGAAAGACCAGGCTTAACAGCAGGCCCTGCCTGTCCCTCTCTCCTGTTCTGATTCGCCACCACTGGACCTGGCATGGATTTCCATTGTTTGGCTGTATCTTGGCATATTTCATCCTTGCCTTGATTTTTAAGAAATACTGCTAATTTTAAGGAATCAAACAATGTAGAAAAGCACAAAAATGTTCAAGTAATTATTCCAAATGCCACTATCCAGAAATAGTTATCAGTACCGTTAGGCAAACCACATTCCAGGAATATTTTCAGGCATATACATAAGTAGATGAATGGAGGGATGGAGGATGGATGGGTATACAGATGGACAGATGGATGATGGATAGTGGGTGGATGGATGAATGGGTGGTTAGGTGGATAGATGGATGAGTGGCCAAATGGACAGATGGATAGATGGATGGATGCATGGTGGGTGGGTGGATGGATGGATGGACAGACAGATGGACTGATGGATAGATGGGTGGATGGATGGACGGGTAGACAAATGGACAAGTGAATGGATGGATGGATAGACAGATGGAGTGATGGCCAGATGGATGGATGGACATGACTATAAAAATGAGATCATAATCCACATAAAATACTATTTGGTTTATGTATTTATTTTGTTAATTGCCTGCTCTCCCCACTAGAATATCAGCTCCTGAGAGCATGGGCTTTATCTGTTTTGTTTGCTGCTAAAATCCCAGTGCCTAGGATAGCACTTGCCACTTACTAGGAGCACAGTCGATATTATTCAAGAACAAAGCCTGTTTAGAAGATCTTAAGCTGAATCTAAGTCATCCTTTATGTGGTTAGAAAAGAATGCCACTCTGTTGTCTACAGTGGCTGCAGTCATGCTGGGGCCCCGGGGGAGAAAGGAGGCGAGCTCAGTGAGGACCACAGATGGGGTCCCAGCCTCTCCCCACAGCACAGGGAAACTTCCTGCCTTGTGGGGTTAGTACCATTCATTTTTAAATGAGCACCCCCTTCCTGTTTTATTCATGAAGCAATTAGGAAATACTTTGCTTTAAAGGGAATTGTGCAGTAGCATGAAATGGAATGAGTAGAGCCTTTAAAAGGAAAAAAAACCCTGATTTTAAACCAGCCCTCACTGACTGGCTATGGGACCCCGGCTAAGTTACATCACCTCTCTGACCCTCAGTTTCTTCATCTGTCAGGTGATGATCCTCTCCATGCCTCTCCTCAACGCTGGGCTGATATCAACTGCTGTTTGTGTCATCACCATCACAGAAGGGCTGATGGCTTTGCAGCGGTGCCCTGGGGAGGCTCTTCCCACTGCCAGGGTCCCCAGAGCAATGGTGAGCATGAACTGGGATGATGTGTGATGTGTCTAGCACAGAGCAGGCATTCGAGAGTGTTATTTTGATATTGTCATAAATATGCAAAAAAGGAGTTGGCAAAGTTGCATAAACATGAAAACATGGGTGCTCGTGCGGAAACTATCCTTCATGCAAATTTGGGAATTCAAACTATGCTGTCCCTAAGGCAGTGTAATCATGAGGAAATAAAACAGAAGAGAGAGATAGAGACAGAGACAGAGAGATCACAAGAGAAAGAAGAAGAAAAACGAGGAGAAGGAGGGGAGGAGGAGTAACTAGAAAGAGTAGGAGGAAGAACAGGGAGACAGGGAGGGAGACCTGGGCCTCCCTTGTTATCATCTCGCCTGGTACAGAGAAGAAACAGGTGAAATACAGGAGGCCTCTAAACAGGGAGTCATGGTTAACTTTACAGGTCATCTTGTCTGGGCCACAGTGTCAAGATATTTGGACAAACATCATTCTGGATAGTTCTTTGAAGGGGCTTTTGGATGAGATTAACGTTTAAGTCAGTGGACTTAAAGCAGATCGCTTTGATGTGGGTGGGCCCCATCTAAGCAGGTGAAGGCCCAAACAGAAAAAAGACTGACCTCTGAGCCACAGGGAATTCTGCCAGTAGTGGGCCTTTGGACTTGAACTGTAACATCAGCTCTTCCCTGGGTCTCCAGCCTGGTGGCCTATCCTGCCAGCCTATTTGGACTTGCCAGTCTCCATAATCACATGAGCTAATTCCTTAAAGTAAATCTCTCTCTCCTTCTCTCCCCACCAAGTCTTTGTGGTTCCGTCTCTCTGAAAAATCCTCACTAATACACAGGGGCTGGAAAAGAAACAAATCAGTTGAGTAGACTTTGCTGAGGGGACTCTACAAGGCACAGGGTTGGGGGCAGAGAAAAACCACCCCCTGACCATAGGGCCAATTCTTTAGCAGAGTTCACAGTTTAAAAGAGCCAACAAATCAGAAATGAATCTGGATGAAATTCCACATGTGACACGTTGGCCGTCTGTCAATTCTCTTAGTTACAAAGAAGAAAGGGGCGGGGTGGGCAATCAGAGTGAGTGTGGAGATGGCTCAGTTCCCCCAGAGACCCAGGCCAGGGGCATCATGTGCTCTGAGGGAAACTGAGCAGAAAGAGCACACCCTGTGTAGTCACCTACCCCAGGCTGAATCCTGAGCTCCAAGGAGCGGCAGTGAGCCCTGGAGCCCTCACACCACCAGTCTGGGCATGGTTCCTCTATTTGAAAAATGGAGAAGATAGTCCCCATTTCCCAGCTTTCTGCAAGGATTAAATGAATAAGAGATATGAGCGCCTGGGATGATAGTGCACAGCAGGTGTTCTAGATACTTCTGCTCCCTCCCCCACCCGACTTTGGAGCTCAGGCTGAAAGATGTGGGATAGGAAGAATGTGGGTTCCATTCTGAGCTGCACCTGGCTCCTCAGTGTGAATTGGGCAATAATCTCCCCTCTGGAAGACCTGTCTGTAAGGGGGTGATGATAGAACTGCCTGTCGGTAAGATGAGTGGCAAGTACTCTCCTGGGTCCTGCCATGGGTGGGTGCTCCTCTCTTGTTGTAAATATCTAGAAAGCCCAGGTCAGCTCTCATGTCAAAGAGGAAGGAGCATGTTAGACTCACCACTGACCTTGACACATAACCTTGGCTTCCTGTGCAGTGCAATTGCCAGAATAATGGCTTCTAAGATGTCCACACCTCAGTCTCAGAACCTGTGAATATGTCATCTTACATGGCAAAGGGACTTTATAATTAAGCTTAAGGATCACAAACTGAGATTATCCTAGATTATGCAGGTGGTTCCAACCTCATCATCGCATGGGTCCTTAGAAGCAGAGACCTTTTCTCGCTGTGGTAGGTCATAGAGAGATGTGATGACAATGGAAGAGGCATCCGAGAGATGCAATTTGTTGGCTTTAAAGATGAAGGAAGGGATCCATGGGCTAAGAAATGCAGGTGCCTCTGAAAGCTGGGAACAGCCCTCAGCTGACAGCCAGCAAGGAAGTGGGGACCTCAGTCCTACAACCGCAATGAACCAAATTCTGCCAATTACTTGAATGAGTAGGAAACAGATTCTCCCCAGAGCCTTAGAAGGAGTACAAACCTGCCGACACTGGTTTTGTCTGGCTAAACCCATGTGGGACTTCTGACCTACAGAACTAGAAGATTTGTGGTCTGTTAAGCCACTAAGTTGGTGGTAATTTGTTACAGCAGCAGTAGGAAACTAATACAAGTGGGAGGCTGCGTGTGCCTGTGGACAGCTGTGGCCAATTCTGCTGGCTGGACACCTGAAAGTGTCCCCACCCTTTCTCCTGGCTGTCTGTCTTTGGAGGTTGAGGAAGAGGTGTTGGTTTGCAGCCTCCCTCGTGGCCGGGGATCCACGGGCTGGGTCTCCTCAGGACGTGAGTAAAATTTACTTCAGGGACTTGGGGGAATGTACTTTCTTGGAAAGAAAAGACAGCAGGGTGACTGTGTTCTACCTTTACCTTCTTGACCTGAATGCAGACACGGTGGCTGGAACTCCAAGAAGGAGAGGTGGCAAGAATCAGAGAACAGGTCTATGACCTCACTGAACTGAAGCAAGGGCTGCGACACCTACCTCCCGACGGCTTGTGATCGGCATAAGCCACTGTCACAAATCACGTTTGCTGAAACTCACAGAAATCAGGAAGCCCATCTTTAGATGCACATAAAACACAACTAGTAGCACACTTACGTAAGTAACTCTACATATGGCTGCATGCACATAGCCTCCGGGCTCTGTCTTGGGAAGGCTGTTGAGAGCTGCAGCTGTGGCCAAGAATGAGGCAGATCACCCAGTCTCAACACAGAAAAGTTGAAATGCGGGGTGCAATCTCATTGGACTCCTTATATGGTCCAGATTTCAGTGACCAACTTTGTTCCTGGTGGAACCTACTCTGCATATATTAAACTTACTTAAGACTGAGAGGAAGGAGGTTTGGGTGCCTGCCTAATTACAGAAACTGACCAGGGCAATGATTACGATTGTCATTGTTGCTGCCGTGACCCCCGATCAAACGTCCTCTCTGTGCTGGCCCTGGGCCAGGGCTTTTCACAGATCTGCTTGGCAGCTCCCAAGGTTCGTGTTATCATCCCCATCCTGAGGGTGAGGAAACGTGGACTCTGAGAAAAGGGTGAAGTGACGAGCTGGCAAGGGATGGACCCAGGACATGGCAAACTTGTCCTCACCTGGCTGTACAGGGTCACAAAGGTGTCCGTCTCCATATTCTCCAGCAAATCTTCAAGCATGACACTGTTCTCTTGCTCCTCTCTCAAACTAGAGTGAAAACAAAATCTATATGAGTCCAGTTTTGTTATAAAGCTAGTTATTTAAATCCTAGTTATTTAAATAACAAGGGGTCACAAATCTAATCAGCATGATTAAAAAAAAAAAAAAAATCCATCCAAAGAGGTGGCCAGAGAAGCTTGCTGGTTTTCAGCTAGATTACCTTGCAAATAATGTATCAGGGAGGGCTCACCAGGATGGGGAGCTCCTCGAAGCAAGAAGTTTTGTGGGAGCCATATGGAGACTTTTCTGTGGCTTTGCAGGGCAATCTGTGATCTGCATGGCTATTAGCATAACTGATGCCATCTTGGGCCCTTACAGTCTCTCCTGTCCTTCTGCTGACCCACCTAGGACTGTGCAGTGAATCACTTCTCTGTCATCAAGGGCTTTGTAGTTAACAGATATTGTTTAATAATCATTAGGACCAGGTAGCCTCTATGCTTTGTTAGTCCCCAAACAAGGATGAAAACCTTCCCTGAAGTATTCCTGGCACCCACGAGACTAGTTACCCGTTCATAAATCTTGACTTAGGAATGCACGTCCTATTTCCAAGCACCTATCCCCATACCTTAGGTTAACTATAAAATTGTCCCAATGGCCCCTTGGTGGTGCGGAATGCAGCTGTGAAGCCTTCTGGATTATTGTCTGCTTGATCCCACCTTGTGAGTATGTTACCCTAGATAAACAGATCCATTGGTTATATGGAGCTGCCTGCCTTGTTTTTCGGCCTCAAGATGCCTGCTCAGTTCGGTGGGCACTTTTCATTCCCTCTGACCTCCAACCGTGATCCTAAGTTGAAAACTCTCAGTATTAGTTGTCATGCTTGTGCTCAAGAACACCAAGATCTGGAGTCTTCAATTACCATGTGACCTTGTGTTGAAGCGGGCCCAGAACCATCTCCCAAGGATGGACCTGACTCTGACCACAGGGGCTGGGTGGCACCTTATCACACGAGGTCTCTATCAGGCTTCTTGACTTCCCCACAAGGAGGTCCTCCCAGCCTATCCCTCAGCCAATCAAAGTTGGCATCTCGGGTTATCCATCCTGCATTCCTGATGGTTAATACAATCCAAACCCAATCTGCAGGTACAATTCATACCAAAAGCTGGATCATCAGCATTTTCCGCCATGAAGCATGGAATACATTACTAAAATCCTAAATCAAGTCTAAATAAAGTCAACATCTCTGAGCATTTTCCTCTGATCAAACAGATTCAGTCTTTCATGCAATTATTTCAATGGAAAACAGAACTGCACTTTGATGTTGTGTTTACACAGAAAGGCGTAATCAAATACATTAAAATAACCTGTAATCTCACCACACAGAAATCACATCTATTACAATTTGGCCTATTTGCTTCAGTTAATTTGTGTGTAAGTTTTCAAAAATGAAATCATGCTGTATATATAGTTTTTACCCTGTCCTTCACATGTCAACATTATACTCACAATGGAAAATTATGAAGCTGTTAAAAATTATGTTTTCCAGAAGATACATGTACCTCTATGTTCACTGCAACACTATTTACAATAGCTAAGATATGGAAGCAACCTAAGTGTCCATCCATAGATGAATGGACAAAGTAGATGTGGTATATATACACAATGGAATATTATTCAGCTGTAAAAAAGGATGAAATCTTGCATTTGGAGCAACATGGATAGACCTGGAGGGTATAATGCTAGGTGAAATAAGTCAGACAGAGACAAACAAATACCGTATGGTTTCACTTATATATATGGAATGTAAAAAACAAAACAAACGAACAAACAAGACAGAAACGGACTCATGGCTACAGAGAACAAACTGGTGGTTGCTGGGTTGAGTTGGGGGGAAGGGGGGTGGGAGGAAAGTCAAAATAGGTGAAGGGGATTGAGAGATACAAACTTCCAACTATAAAATAAGTAAGTTATGGGGATGTAATAGACACATAGGGAATATAGTCAGTAATACTGTAACAACTTTGTACGGTGATGGATGGTAACTGGTTTTACTGCAGTGATCATTTCATAATGTATAAAAATATTGAATCACTATGTTGTACACCTGAAACTAATATAATCTTGTATGTTAATTGTAACTCAAAAATAAAATAAAATACCTAGACTCTGTAAGGGAAAAAAGAATTTTTTCAACAGTTCTTAATGCCATGGGCAAAGGCTAATTGTCTAATTAATCGAAAAAGAATGCAAAAAACAACAACAAAAAAGAAGACCGGGGGTTCTGTCTGTTTTATAATTTTACAAAAGCAGGATATAAATATTACGTTTATGGTGAGGCCTGAGTAAGGCCTGTATTCATTGCATCATGCCAATGTCAGTTCCTGGTCTGGATAATGTGTCGTTATCCTGTGAGATGTTGCCATTGGGGGAAGCTGGGTGACGGGCCATGGAAACTCTGCACTATTTTTTTCAACTTCTTGTGAGTCTATAATTATTTCAAAATAAAAAGCTGAAAAATATTACCTTCAGTAAAACCTCAATATTAAATATTCAATAGAAATTAAATATTAAAAGACTCAAAAAATGAAGTATAAAAAGATGTCAGGGAAGAAGTCTGTTCCGAAGTTAGCAGCTCGCGCCGGAGTGCTGGGAGGACCTCTCAGACGGCAGCACGACAGCCCAGGTGGGCCTTATCCCGCTGAGTCTGAGAGGCCAGGTGCCCCCCTGGCCTGCGGGGACTGAGCCTACACACTGCCTTTGGGCCCTTGGCTCACCTCTGCTGGTGACGCTCCAGTAACTTCTGACCCTTGCTCAGGGCCCGTCGCAGGACAGCCGAAACCTGCCTTTCAGAATCTGTCTCCTCCTCCGGCTCGTGCAGAAGCCCAGGCCCCTCACCTGCCCACTGCTGCCGACTCTCCAGGGCCCGCTGCAGCTGGGCCGCCTCCTGGTGCGCCAGCTGGTCCTCCAGCTTCCTCTCCAGCTCCTGGAGCTCCTGCACACAGAGGGGCAGGTGATGAGCCCAAGGCAGGTGGACCGCAGGATAAAATCCGCCCTGCTTGGCACGGCGCTGCAAGCCTGGCACCACCTCCTCTTGCTGCCTCCCGGATCTGGCCGTGCCAAACAGCACGACGAGACTGCATCTGGGTCTCTCACACCTCCGTGCCTTTGCACACACTGTACACCCACCTGCAGGGCCTTTCCCCGTTAGCCTGGCCAACTCTGAGTCTTCTTTCAAGGACTGGCTTTAGAAGAACCTCCTCAGGAAAGGGCTCTGTTCTGTGTTGGTCTCAGCCTGTGGACTGTGACGGTACTAGCTGGAGATGCCTGGGGGTCCACATTGCCTGGAGCAGTGCCCACAGACATTTTCCTGATGGGCTGATGTCAAGGTTGAACCGGCCCTTGTGGTTCTTATGATCGCAAGGCTCAACCTCAGCAGCAACCATCAAGGACCTTGCAAAAACAAGGTTTATTACTCACAAGCCCTGGAGGGTACGTGGCACACCCAGGCCACACAGCAGGGTCGCAAAGAGAGAGAGAACATGGCCCTGGGGCTCTGCCTTTCAGATGTCAAGGGTGGGGTGCCTAGTGTTTCACTGGTTCACTCTTCGTTGGTGAACTTAAATCATAAGAGCAGGAATTAAGGTGCAGGGAGGGCAAAGCAGGGTCACTCAAGAGGTCAGGTATGTAAGTCAACCAGAGCTTTCCAAAAAACGGAAATTCATGGGTGGGGCAGCCCGGCTTTTATCTGGTTGTTTAGTTGGTAACCTGTTTATTTTCAGACGATGTCTTTGAAACGGATGCCTCGACAATCAAAAGCTGAATGTCAGGCACTTATATTACAATCACAAAAGCTAATTGTCAGGTACTTACTACTGGCTCCCTAAGTCCCCTGGGAGATGCAGACTCCCCCTCCTCAACTGTCCACTCACCATCCCTCGTATTTTCCGTTACAGACTGAATGAATATTTGTGGTCCCTCAAAATCCACATGCTGAATCCCTAATCCCCAGTGGAATGGGGCTTGGAGGTGTGGCCTTTGGGGGTAATTAGGTTTAGATAAAGTTACAAGGATGGGGCCCCCAAGATGGGATTAGTCCCCTTATAGAACGAGGAAGAGACCAGAGCTCCCTCTCTCTGCCATGTGAGGACACAGTGAGAAGGCAGCCATCTGCAAGCCAGGAAAGATTCTTCTCAACAGAAACAGAATCAGCCGGCACTTTGATCTTAGACTTCCCAGTCTCCAAAACTATGAGAAAATAAATGTCTGTTATTTAAGCCCTGCAGTCTATGGTATTTGGGTACAGCAGCACGAGCAGATTAGGACAATGCTCCACTTTCTGCTAGAGTGTGAGCTCCTCGGGGGCAGGGCTGCACTTCCATCCCCCCACCTGCAGCACATAGCAGCTGCCTGGCAGCTCCCACCTGTTTCTAAAACATATGGGTTGGGCTTCCCTGGTGGCGCAGTGGTTGGGAGTCCGCCTGCCGACGTGGGGGACGCAGGTTCGTGCCCCGGTCTGGGGGGATCCCGCGTGCCGCGGAACGGCTGCGCCCGTGGGCCATGGCCGCTGAGCCTGTGCGTCCGGAGCCTGTGCTCCGCAACGGGAGAGGCCACAGCAGTGAGAGGCCCGCGTACCGCAAAAAAAAAAAAAGTTAAAACACATGGGTTATCAGCAAGTATCCTACATGGCGAAAGCTGTGCTGGACCAGCAACCATGGACACCTAACACTGACAGTACGCAGGTCAAGCCTGACCCACTCTGAGTGCTCTGTGTTTATTCATCTCATTGAATCCTTATAACAACTGTAAGGAATATATACTTATTTTCCCTGTTACAAATGATGCAACTGAGGCAGGGAGACAAAGTAATTTTCCAGGTCATGCAATTCTTAAGTGGCAGAACCAGAATACGGGGCCAGGCCAGGTGACTCCAGGGTTTGTGTCCTTAACCCCCAGGCTATACTGTCTCTCACTGGCCGAACAGAAGAAATCTGCATTCTGAGGCCACCAGAGTCAGAGAATCTGGGTACAAGAGACTGTCCACAGCCTGCTTAGATGGGTAAGAGAGGGTAGGCAGGAAGGTCCCAAGCCTTGTAAAATGCAGACACACCGAACCTATTATTCACCAACTGGCCAGTGTTCTATGTGGGGTGGAGTGAGGATGGGGCTTAATTGTAAGAGGCCTTGGATAGGTGTCATCATAGGTGGCCCTTGGTCCTCCTAAATTTTGTGCAAAACCGTCTGCCTGTCTGCAGAGGGGCCAAAGCTTGCATCAAATGCTCAGAAGGGTCTCAAAGTCCCCCAGAGGCTCAGAAACCAAGGCAGAAGAGAAAATGGCAGAGAGGTAAACTGAAATCGTAGTGTGGAGAGTGCGGGGGTTGTACCTTCAGGGCCGTGGAAGCTTTGGAATGCTCTGAGCGTGGGCTACCATCACACTGAGATTTCCAATTATGACCATCCTTCTCGTTGCTGCGTCCCAAATTGGAAACGTAACCAAACACAGCATTTCCAACAGCACTAATGAGTTTCCCGCAGCGTGTCCTGTCAGCATGCCCGGAGCCTGGTCATGGACCAGACTTCCACTGAGGTGCCAGCCCCCAGCCCACAGTGTGGGGAAGGAAAGGACAGACCCATGCTTGCCAGTGTCCCCAAAACAGGCAGAGCACAGAGAGCTGGCGAGTCACACTTTGGTTTTCCGAGACGGGGTTAGCCCTGGTTAGGAACAGGAAACAAGGTGGGAACCTGGTATCCTGCAGGTTCTAAGATGCTGATGGGAGGTTCTCCCAGAGGTCAGTTCTCCCCCAAACCCCTGCCACTTAGCACAACCGGAATCCAAGATTCGGTTCTAGAACTGTCTTCCTTAATGCCTGCTCTCTTCACTAGAGTTTAGATGCTCAGGTAGGGACTCTGGGACTGTCTTGTTCATCTTTCTCCCCAGCAGGAAGCAGGCACCTGGCTTGTGGAAGGAGTCACAGTAATCAGCATTATCTTCCTATTAGTAATAATAACAGCAATTAGCACATACCGAATGCCCCCCTTGCGCTAGATTTGATTCACGCTATCTTTACGTGAATTAATTTATTTAATCTCCACAAAACAGATTTATTTAATCTTCACAAAATGGGACAAGGTAGTCCCATTTTATCGATAAGGTAGCTCAGGTGCAGACAGCGTAAGGAAATCTGAAGTCCCAAGAACCCAAGAGAGGAGTGATTTTAAGTTTCTCTGACTCTGGGCCCCATCTCTCGCTTCCATTGTCTCTGGAAAGCATTATGTAGGCAACTTTCGAATGAATGGATGGTTGGACAGATGGACAAATGATGATGATGATGATGAAGACAGACAGACAGGCAGATAGAGAGACAGTTCCAGGCCTTTTATTGGGCACGAGGGATGTTGGGGTGAATGAGACATGGCCCCTAGACTCTGGAAACTCACGGTCTAGTGTGGGAGACCGTTGTTCAAACACAGTAACAGTGACCGGTAACAGCCCGTCTCTGGGAATCGTGATGGAGAGTTATTTGAGTACAGAGCTGGGAGAGACCAACTCTGTCCAAGGGAATCATGGATGGCTTCACGGAGGAGGCAACATTCGGCTTGTCTAAGAATATGGACGGGAGTTTGCAGGTGGGCAGCAGAAGCATTCTAGGCAGAGGTCCTTCCAAGGAATGGAGGCCTGAATGCGTCTCAAGTGTTCAGGAAGCTGCAAGGTCCAGGGGCTAAAACGCAGAGTCTGAGGGAGGGAGGGGTGAAGGATAAATATTAAAATATGGAGCTGGGAATGGGGCTGCCACTGATCATTTTTATTTTTCGGAAAGCCTCCTCTGGCTGCAGTGTGGAGGAGACTGCAGAGGGAGAGAGGAAGGCGGGGGGAAATCAATGTCAGGACAGGAGCCGAGCTGGGAATGGGGCTGCCACTGATCATTTTTATTTTTCGGAAAGCCTCCTCTGGCTGCAGTGTGGAGGAGACTGCAGAGGGAGAGAGGAAGGCGGGTGGAAATCAATGTCAGGACAGGAGCCAGGCTTTGCAGGCAGGAGGTGTGGGCTCTGCTTTCCAGCTGTGGGACCCTGGTGAGATGCGTTAACCGTCCTAAGCCTCAACTCCAGAATGGGAATAAAAGCATCCTGGGGTTGACAGAAAGTTTACACACTTAACACGATGCCCTGGACTTAACGAGAGCTCAATGAGTGCAAGCTACTCTTGGTGTGATTTTTGGTTTTCAGATTTGTCTGAAGAGTGAAGCTGGGCGGCAAAGGTCAGAAGTGAGAAAATTCAGGCAGGATCGACAGACTGGGTGACTGGCAGCAAGTGGGCAGTAAGGCAGAGGGGAGAAGAGAAAGACGTCCAGTCCAGGCTTGGAAAAGTGGATATGCAGTCGCTTAAACTGAAATGCAAATACAGTGGGTACAGTTAGTCTGGGGTCACATTATCTGTATGAGTAAGTCCATCCCATTTACATTTGCCCATGATTCAATTATGCCTTTGCCTACGTCCCAGTTTCACAAAATGAGTCTAAATCTTTCATCAAGTGAGGGGAACTTGATACAGTTTTCTTAGGAGTCATTGCTTCCAAAGCATTTCATTTCATGCTTTTAAAAATTCTCCTGAATGTGAAACAGCTTAAAAGCCCGTTCCGAATGGGAAAGTGGTTTTCCCAGAATGATCAGATTGCAGAATGAAAGTCTAATACCAGGAGCAAAATGACAGATTTGTCTTCCCTCCAAATGCAAATCTTCACTCCAAAAAAACCCGGCATCGTATCCATCGCTTTACCAGGAATTTAAGAATGCAGCATCCTCTGATTTATCATCAGTTGCTTCCAATTCAGGACACATTAACTCTTCTATTCTAAACACACTTGAGAATAAGAAAGCTTTGATGTTACTCAAAAGGGCTTTAAGATAAAATTGAAAATGTAAGTGTTGTGCTGCCCAATTACTAATGGGAATGAGGGTCGTTGCAAGTGGAAAGGGCCATTAGGTGTCTTAGGGCTTAACTGAGGTGCTTCTCAGAGCATTTACGATGAAGAGATGAACTGGGAACTGAAAGCCAGAGGTTCCGAGTGTCTTATTTTGTTCCTAATTTGTTTGATACATGACCTTGGACCTGCCCTTCCTCTGAAGGCCTCATCTGCTTCACCTATAATTCCTGGCAATGGCCACCTCCATGCCAATCACCCGGCGGCGATACTTACTGTGGGTTTTGGGTAAACATCCTGCAGGTATTTCCTCCTACTATTAATTTGCTAAGGAGTCTTAAGTTGGATGGGTGCTGAATTCAATAAAATACTTGTTCTGTATAGACTGAAATGATCATAGGAGTCATTTCTTTAATCTGTTAATCTAATGAATTTTGTACATGAATGTTTTAATGTTAAACCAACCTTACATTCCTGAGAAAAACTCAGTCTGGTCATGCTGTATTAAATCCTTTTTACAGATGGCTGGATTAGGTCAATGTTTTGTTTATGAATCGTACATCTATGCTCAAAGTAAGACAACTGTAATTGTTCTTTCTCGTACTATTCATGTCTGGTTTTGGTGTCAAGGTTATCTGAGCTTCATGAAATGAGGAATATTCCCTATTTTTTTTAGCATCAGAAATAAGCCTTATATGAGATTGGAAAAACTTGCTACCTTAGGGTTTGGTGGAGCTCGCCTGTAAAACTATCAAGGTAAGATATCTTTGCATGTGTGTCAGAAGATTTCAAAACTATTGAATCAATTTCTTTCATGGTAATAGAACTATACAGAATTTTTTTCTAGTTGAGCCAATTTTGGCGGGCTACAACTTTTTAGAAAATTTTCCGTTTCATTGCAATGTCTAAAGTCATCTACATGAAATTATTGTTCATAGAATTCTCTTATTTTTTAAAACTCTAGGGCATCTATTGTTATGTTGATTTTCATACTTCTGATATTACTTGTCCCTTATCTCTTTTTTAACTGGTCAGTCTTTCTGGATATTTGTATATTTATTAGACTTTTTTCAAAAAATTCAACATTTCACTTTATTGATTCTCTCTACTGTAGTTTTGTTTTTAATTTTATTTATGCTCTCTTCCTTCCCTCTACTTTCTACAGGTTCATTTGTGGTTGTTATCCCCCTAACTTTCTGTTTTGTTTTGTTTTTTGTTTTTTGGGGTTTTTTTTGCGGTACGCGGGCCTCTCCCTGTTGTGGCCTCTCCCGTTGCGGAGCACAGGCTCCGGACGCGCAGGCTCAGCGGCCATGGCTCACAGGCCCAGCCGCTCCGCAGCATGTGGGATCTTCCCGGACTGGGGCACGAACCCGTGTCCCCTGCATCGGCAGGTGGACTCTCAGCGACTGTGCCACCAGGGAAGCCCCCCCTAACTTTTTATATGATTTCAATTGCGAGCCTTTCTTCTTTTCCAATATAAGTTTAGGGCATAAATTTCTCTCTAACAACTGATTTTTTAGAGAGAAAAAAAAGCAGTTAGATACGTCGTATCTACATTATTTTTCTGTTCTTTGAATTTTAAAATTTCCATTTCTTTGATTTGAAAATGTCCATACTTTTGATATGAAAATTTCCATTTCTTTGAAAATTTGATTTCTTTGATCCATGAATTATTAAGAAGTATGTTTAAAACTTCCAAAGTATGGAAGTTTTAACCTCTTAAAAAAACGGATTTAAACTTGATTGCCCTTTTTCAAAAAGGTGGTCAACAGGGTAATGCATGGTCAATTACTTTTTTTTTTTTTTTTTTTGGTCAATTACTTTTTAACTGTTCTAATATGTGCTGAAGAAAAACGTATGTTCATCAACCATTAGCTGTGAGATTTTGCATGTGTACATTAAATACAGGTTGTTAAATGTGTGATTCAGTTCATCTGTATCTTCACTGGTGTTTCATTTGATCAATGATCAGTTGATCATTGTAGGTGATGCTGAAAGTTCCCACCATGATGGAGGTGTGCTGAAAGTTCCCACCATGATGAGAGATCTATCAATTTCTCCCTGTTGTTTGGTCAATTTTTCTTCTTGTTGTTTTGGGTCTTTTACTACATATATGCAAGTTGAGAATCTCTCTGCTCTCTGGGTGAATGAAACTTCTAAATCATTTTGGAATTATCTTTAACTTTTTTAATAATTTCATAAATCATTATTTTATATTCTATACTGATAATTCAGACATCTAAAGTCCTTGGGGATTTTAATCTGCTGGTGTTTTGTTTCTCTTATATACAGGTCCTCTTGTCTTGCGTCTTTATGTGTTCAGTGACTCTTTAAATTTTAGTTGAGAACTCATATTTGGCTGAACCTGTAGGAATCCTGAGGTGCCCAGACTGAGAATATTTTCCTCTGGAGAGGATCTGCCTTAGCTTTAGCCATGCACCAGGGCAGGCATCCCACCTGGACCTATTTAAATTTAATTTATCACCTTGGAGATTTCCGGACTGAATGGCTAAAGTATTTTTGGATTCCTTCATCACATTACCAGAAGCCTTTGATGACAAATTCAGAGGAGACTCACACCCCTCCCCCGCCCACCCCCCACCCAGGCCACCAGCAGGGCTGAAGATGGACAGGTTACCCTGGTGGCTCCTTTGACCACAGGTGGCTTTCTCCTCCCACCTCACTGGGCATTCTGTCTCCTCAGGACATCCCACAGCCCCATCTCCGAGTCCTTCAAATTAATCCCCTATCCCTGGGCGCTCTGGGTTTCACCCTTTGCCCCTAGATTTCAGCCTCTGGATTTGCTTCTACCTCCCTCTATGAGTTCAGCTTCTCCAGGCTATCCTTAGCCCTTGGGGATTTTCCTCATTCTCTTGCGAACTCACAAAGCATTAAAAAGTATGTTTGGGCTTCCCTGGTGGCGCAGTGGTTGGGAGTCCGCCTGCCGTTGCAGGGGACACGGGTTGGTGCCCCGGTCCGGGAAGATCCCACATGCTGCGGAGCAGCTGGGCCCGTAAGCCATGGCCGCTGAGCCTGCGCATCCAGAGGCTGTGCTCCGCAACGGGAGAGGCCACAACAGTGAGAGGCCTGCGTACCGCACAAAAAAAAAAAAGTATGTTTATTTTTATTTACCCAGCGTTTGGATGTTTTGTGCTGGGATATCCACAAAGCTTCCCCTTCTTTCCTATCCCTACAAACAGGTGTCACAGTGCAGGGTGCACTATGTTTGCTGGAAAAATAGCTTGGACTCTTCAGGGTCTCATGTTATTTATGACTTCTGTAAAGAAATGATGGGAACCCCCATTAGCAAGATCAACCAGTCCATGAATGTGACCCAGGTGTCTGAAGTCAGAAGGGGATACATTTCTGGCTCCTGTCACTCATTAGCTCTGTGGACCTCAGAAAGAACTTGACCTGCCACCTGCCCGAATCTCATTTCTTTTGTTTTTGTTTTTTTTTGCGGTTTGTGGGCCTCTCACCGTTGTGGCCTCTCCCGTTGCGGCCTCTCCCGTTGCGGAGCACAGGCTCCAGATGTGCAGGCTCAGCGGCCATGGCTCACGGGCCCAGCCGCTCCGCGGCATGTGGGATCTTCCCGGACCGGGGCACGAACCCGTGTCCCCTGCATCGGCAGGCAGACTCTCAACCACTGCGCCACCAGGGAACCCCCCGAATCTCATTTCTTTACTTGAGAATTGAGCACAGAAAAGGTACCGACTTCATGCATGGCTCGATGATTAATTGGCATAATGTCTGACAAAGCGCGTAACTGCAAAGCAGCATAAAATCATAACTTATTAATAATCATGCTTAAATGATCATCTTAAGACGCACAATTAAGTAATGAATTGTTAATGCTTAAATGAGAGTACACCCATTTCACAGCTCATTAAATGCTTGCCTGCCACACACGTGACACTCGATAAATGTGAGTTCCCTTTCCTCACTATAAGTAACTATTATAATAATACATGAAATTCTAAAATTATACACACAGGGACTAAAATTAGTCCTCAAAACCATTACGTCAGTAGCTTTTGTTTTACGAGTATACCTCTCACGCCTTGAAAAAAATGCAGCATGTAGGAATAATTAGAATTTTGAAAATAAAAAATAATCGTTATTTCATAGCATCTAAGGCGCCATTCATTGAAAGCTACACGGCTATTTTTCATAGTAGTATGAAAGATACAATACTGCTGTTGGCTGCAAGAGGCATCCCAGTTTCCCAGATTTTAAAAATGTTAAAATTCAAAAGGTTTGCTTCCTTGGAGGCAATGAAATAGAGCAGCCTTGGGCTGCAAGGGTGCACCATGCTCCCATGTAAGTTTCCTCACTCAACCCTCTCCAGGACGCTGCAGTGGACACAGGACAGCAGACCACCCACCTAATGGTGGGAGAAGTGGAGGTGGCCACCAGAATGAAACACCAAGGTATGTGGTGCGGCCCCCGCGCCTTCCTCCCCAGGTCTGTCACTCACCGGACTGTGCGACTCCAGGATCTGCGTGCAGGCTGACTTGGTCAGGGTCTCTGACGCACTCAGCTCCTCCAGGAGCAGGTCCTGAATGGTCAGGAGAGCAGTGTACGCCCACAGGGTCTTGGCCATCCTGGTCGCCTTCTGGAACTGCAGGGAGACGAGGGACTCGGCAAAGCGTCCCTCCTGGGCCTCCAGCTGCTGTACCCTCTCGCGAAGCAACTCTCCTCGGACCTGGGAGGGGCCAGCCAGAGAACCAGAGAGCAGTAAGTGGAGGGACGGCGGAGGACAGAGCACGCGGCTTACAAAAGCACGGTGTATTTATATTCATGCAGCCAGGCAGCCAGTCATCGATTCGGGATTCTGAAGGTCTCAAGTAGTTACAAGGCAGCAGCATTGGAATCTCAGTGCGCAGTTCAAGACAGCAAGGGCCTCTCTGCTTATAAAGATGCTGTGGGGCTTTCAGAGTCCAGCTGTTCATTCCATATTTATCACTCTCGGAGGTAAATCGAACTGTGTTGCTCTCCAGGGCAAAATCCTTCAAGCCTCCCATCTTGAAGGATGAAAATTCAGTCTTCCTAACACAGCCCCTAAGGCTCTCCCTCCCCGATCCCAGCTAAGGTACAGCTGGAAAGATCTGTTCTGTTCTGCCACCTCCACCCACATATGTGGGACTTCCATTACTCCCGACAGTTCAGGGCCTTGCACACCATATGCTCTCTGTGTCTATCACCCGAGCTCTTCGCTATGATTCAAACATCCCTCATCTTTGTCCTCCTGAAAATCTCCTACTTGTCCTTTGCGTCTCTGGTTCCCAAGGAGCCACTTTGAAGCATCCTCACTCTGCACATCTGTCACCCTCTTTGTGTTTCTTTTGTCTCTCAAGCTCCTCTCCGCATCTGGCACCACACTGTTTGCCCCACCAGGACAGAGCTCTTCCAGGGGAGGGCCCAACACCCGAGGGGCCCAGCAGCCTCTAGAGGAGAGAATCCATTCATTATACTCATTCACTCAACTAAGTAGTTCATTCCAGCTTCTCTACATTTTTTCTCTGCTATCACTGCCTCTTACACTTTCTCTAGGAAACTTGCTACAGGGAACAACATAGTCTATTGCTTCTCTGATTTCACCACCCGAGCCCCTAAAGGCAGGTCCCTGTAAGTGTGCACGCCTCTCCCCTGCACAGGAAGCTAAAGTACAACCCCAAAAGTAGCCTGCACAAGCATCATATCTCGATGAAGCCTTTCATTTCATCTTTAAAGGTTTGTGGAATATATTCACAATAGCCAAAGTCAAAGCAACCCAAGGACCCCTCAACAGATGTACGGATAAACAAAATGGGGTCTATCTATACAGTGGAATATTATGCAGCCTTAAAAAGGAAGGAAATTCTAGCACATGCTACAACATGGATGACATTATGCTGAGAGAAATCAACCAGTCACGAAAGGACAAATCCCGTATGATTCCACTTATATGAGTTTCCTAGAGTAGTCAAATTCATAGAGTCAGAAAGTAGGTTGGTGGTTGCCAAGGGCTGGGGAGAGGAGGGGGTGGGAGTTAGTGCTTCATGGGGACAGAGTGTCAGTTTGGGAAGATTAAAAGTTCTGGAGATGGATGGTGGTGACAGCTGTATACAACATGAATGTACTCAACGCCACTGAACTGGATACTGAAAAAATGGTTAAGGTGGTACATGTCACGTTACGTGTATTTTAGCACAATAAAAAAAATGGAAAATAAAAAGCTTGTGGAATTTTGTTTCCTGCTACGTAACCTATTTTTACGATTTGTATGTTGATATTCAGAGGTTTTAAAGTAGCTGGCACAAGGGAAGATATTTACACGGCATAGAGGCTGGCAGGGGATGGTGGCCCGGGTTCTCCCATGGCTGTGCCATTTTCCTGTGCCCATTGTGTGTCCTTCAGAGGAAGGCAAATCCCAGTTTAAAGAGATCAGATTTCACCTGTGTGATCTGTCCTTCAGGAAAAAGTCTGCTGCAGGAAGGAGGAAAAAGTGCCCCAAAGAAGCAAACAGCCCACTTTGGGTATTATTGGCTGGAAGAGAAAACTCTGCTGGAGGGCCTGCAAAGGCCTCTTGGAGAGGTGGTGCTTACCACAGGCCACGGAGAAGGAAGGACAACAAGTGAAATTAGTTCTTCAAAGACACGCTGTGGGGACCTGCATATTTGGGTCACAAAGCAGCCCACTAGCAACAGGGATCAGAGGCAATAACACACAGAACTACGGCATGAAAACAGCTTCTCTGGAAGAAGACACTTCATTTCCCTGCTTGAAAGGAAACATGAAGCCTTGTTATCAAAAGGATGCTACCAGACCCCAGTCCTTCCCTAGTTTGGAGCACCAGGTGACAGCCACTTGTGACAGTCCGGTGATCTGTTTCCATGGTAATTACGGATCACTGGCCTGCGCCTTCCAGGTGGGCTTTCTTCGAGGGCCAGCAGCCGTACTCAGCTTGTATGGAGGAGGCTGCACAGCTCGCAGAGGTGGTCCAATGTCCTTGCAAGACTGGGCGATGCCCTGTGAGAATGGGGCCCCAAGAGTGGTGTCTGATTACTTCCTCATGGGGACACTTGGAAACTGAGTCTCTGAAGTGCTTTACAGATCCTAACAGTCTTCCAGCAAACTCTTTTTTTCCCACTGTTATTTTTTTTCACAGTAAGTTCACAAACAGAAAATATATTTACACCTTTGTTCATTCATCCAAAAAAGTTTAATGAGTACCAAATATGTATAATATAAAGGAATGTGTGACGCACCTGGGAATGGGGACGGGTGCGTCACTAGACACGTATCTAATCCTGAAAGAGCTCAGAATTGAGGAGGGAATAGGCACCATGGTGAAAGGCATAGGCTCCAGAGCCAGTACTCTAAATTTGTTTGAGATTTTTGCACTTTAATTATCTAGATGATGGGGTGGGTGGCAATGTCTTTCCAGGCATAGAAATCAATTTTTCTATCTTAAATTTAAGCACTGATGATGTTTATTCAGCTGGGTGTTATGTTTATTTAGTCATGCACATGACTTAGCTTCTCTGAATTCCTAGCTTTGTCTTCTTTACTCGAGGAGTCCACCAGGTTCTGCCTGGTTTCCTTCCCCTGTGCCATGGCCTGGAAGCTCTTTCAGGGCCATACCCAGAACGGTCACAGGGCTCAACTCATTTGTTCCCTGTTTCTCAGGGATCACTTTTGACTGTTGTCCAGTGTTTTAAAAAACACATTATTTCATACATTTTGTTCATTGTTTTTGTTTTGTTTTGTTTTAGGTGAGGGGATAATTTGGTGCTTCAATTCCGTTATGGCCAGAAGCAAAATAAGTCCCTAGTAAGGTTATTTTGATTATTAAATAATCTACTACTTTGAGAAAACCATAATTCAAAAAGAGTCATGTACCACAATGTTCACTGCAGCTCTATTTACAATAGCCAGGATATGGAAGCAACCTAAGTGTCCATCGACAGATGAATGGATAAAGAAGATGTGGCACATATATACAATGGAATATTACTCAGCCATAAAAAGAAACGAAATTGAGTTATTTGTAGTGAGGTGGATGGACCTAGAGTCCGTCATACAGAGTGAAGTAAGTCAGAAAGAGAAAAACAAATACCGTATGCTAATACATATACATGGAAACTAAAAAAAAAGAAAAAATGGTCATGAAGAACCTAGGGGTAAGACAGGAATAAAGACACAGACCTACTAGAGAATGGACTTGAGGATACGGGGAGGGGGAAGGGTAAGCTAGGACAAAGTGAGAGAGTGGCATGGACATATATACACTACCAAATGTAAAACAGATAGCTAGTGGGAAGCAGCCGCATAGCACAGGGAGGTCAGCTCGGTGCTTTGTGACCACCTAGAGGGGTGGGATAGGGAGGGTGGGAGGGAGGGAGGTGCAACAGGGAAGAGATATGGGGACACATGTATATGTATGACTGATTCACTCTGTTATAAAGCAGAAACTGACACACCATTGTAAAGCAATTATACTCCAATAAAGCTGTTAAAAAACAAAAACAAAAAAACCTCCAAAAACAAATACTTGAAAGAAAATAAATAAATAAATGAATAATCCACTACTTTTAATTGACTGTAACAGTGCCTGACACACTGAAGTGTTGAATGATGGCTAGCTGTCGTTGTTTATTGTTAGTATTAATTTTATTATTAAAGGTAGAACATGGTCGGTGCCATAAAGGAGGTCCATATATAGCGCTGTGATATTTTAGAAGATGGAAGAGGAGGAGGGGTCAGGGAAGGTTGTGAAGATATCAGCGTTTGAACTGGATATTGAAGGATCCAGGCATTAAGGAAGAGGGAACAGCACAACCGAAGGCACTGAGGCAGGAGTGTATGGGGTCCCTATGGGGTTAGTGAGAGGGTGGATTAGACCAAAGCTGAAAGGAAAAGTGGAAGGTAAGGACCTAGAGGTCAGACAGAAACCACATTACAGAGACCCTCACTGCCAAGAGAAGGTAGGTAGCCTTTCTCCGGAGGCAACAGAAAGGGCTTTGGCAAGAAGCCTATTAAGGTTACTAAAGAGGAAAAACATGAGTGACAGGCAGGTGGACAAGAAAGGGATGAGAGGTCCCCTCATTACACACCTGTATGAGCTCATATTTTCACATTTCCTCCATGTGGTTTCAATCTTCCCCACCCCTGGACAGGTAGTGGCCCAAATACCCTGTAAGGCCTAACTAGCCCCCTGCAGAGATGCAGGGCAGAGTAAGGTGGCCGTGAGGGATATCTCATTTTACTTATGCAAAGTCATTCCTAAAATGTGGGATAAGTGTAAAGCCTTTTGCATGCACTTCAAGAACAGCTTGGACAGTGAAATTAACAAAAGAAAGATTCTCTAACGTCCTCTTTCTTCTTCGGAAAGCTTAATTTGTTAATTCTAGCCCTATGAGAATATGCCTCTGAAGAGGGCTTTCATCCTTGTTTAAAAGAACTCCTGGGAAAAGATACAGATTTGCATTTCTATGAGGTATTAATGACAGGCTTAATTAAGGATTCAAGCTACCTAAAAATTCCTTTGCAAAACAATATGCTGCTAAATACTCTTGTTTTCAATGTGAAGTTCAAACAACTTCCTAACTAGTTTCCCTGGTAGAATGTGCAGTTTTGAAGGAGTAGTTTCTTCTATTCATTGGGATGTCCTTTAAACACAAAATAAAATCAAGCTGTCAATCAGCAGAGAGTTACTGAGAT